TCGGCAGGCTTGATAGCGGCTTGTGATGAAGCCGTCTTTTTAAAACGCATGCTTGTTCTTGGTGATATGCATGCTGTTCGGGTGTCTGGGAACTAGAATCTAAATAATTGCGTGCTTGTTAACCAAAGCTGTAAAATGTGCTGCATGGTGTGTTCATGCTTCAAAGACGAAGACAGTCTAAGCTTGTGGTCGGACAACACTCCTGACCTGTTCAGCTCCTGTACGGTTTGTTGTCGTGATTGTCTCAGCAGTACCTTGGTGTACACTAAGGCAAGCCCAATCTACGAAACAAGCCCGTCCAACTAGGTTATACCAAAACTGAAACACTCATGTTACCCTTCTGTTCTCTTGCACGCGCCACTGCCTTCCATACTGGCAAGGACTATGTCCACGTGGAGGATTCCTAATGGTTATGAAAGGAAACAACTCCCATGACATGCAACACAGCCATGCGTCGGGATATCCAACGGCCATGAATAGCTGGTATGCGCAACCAGCTGAGCATTTAACCCTTGGCTCATGCGGCGAACGCGCAATTTCCATGCATGCGGAAACTGGCTGACCATTGCCTTCAGCCGACCGCCATGGGAGCGATTGAAGGGGCTTTGACTAGTACGGCATCAGGCTGTTACGTATGTGCTGGCCTGGTTTTTAGCTGGATGAGAATGGTGTAAATGTCGAATGTGGATATTATGCTTTTATGCCTTACGTGTGTCATATCTCAGGAGATATAAACACCGTTGGAATACAAGCCGCTTTTATCCTGATGCAACACTAAGATTTCATGCATAGGTTTTCATTTCGTTTGCGAGGCTGCGGTGGGCCTGGAGACACGCCAGCAAATTAGCTTAGAATCAATAACTAGCGAGCGGACGACCTTGACAGCTGAGATTAAAAGATCGGTGCATTGCATAATGGCGAGGACGTCCCACTATCATAATGACGAGGACGTCCCATTGTCATAATGAGGAGGACATCCCACTATCATAATGGCGAGGACGTCCCTCTATCATAATGACGAGGACGTCCCACTATCATAATGACGAGGACGTCCCATTATCATAATGACGAGGGCGTCCCATTATTCGGCTTTACATATCCAACCAGCATAATGTAAGTCGCATTCGCATTCGGCAGAGCACTGCCTGTCAGTGGTGGATGCAGAGTCCAAAGAATAGGTGTGAAAGAGCATGATCGTGATAGTTGGCATGGCGATGCATTGCAAATCCGCCAGTTTTCCCCAAATATCTGCAGACGGTGCCGCTCATGCGGATTCGTGCATCCACCTCACATGTCCTGGGGTGCAAAAGATGCACTCGGGGTATAACACCGTCCTGCTACCATGTCATATTGTCGGTGGGCTCTCGTTGAACAGGTCGTTGCAACTAGTCAAACAAAACCGGCGGACTTGAGAGCGAAGGCCGGGGTTGAGTACCGGTTGAGTACGTGTCTTGGGATAAGACGTCCAGGCCGTCAAAGAAGGTAAGCTGTCGTGCGGTGCTGTTAGGCGCATTTAGCTGATATCGGATTCTTCGCAATCCCAATGCTATGGATCACATTCCCAGGCGATTAACGGGACAGAGATGGAATGAACACGTCACCAGGGACAGTGCGAGAATTTTTTGCTTGGGTGGAGGTTGGGTGGGATGGGAGTTGGGGGGGATCACGGAGGGTGTCTGGGAGATCAAAAGTCGATTTTTTTTTCGTGTGACGCCATAGGCTATATATCGCCACATCAAACCTCGAGATTATGGGATACGCGCTCCGCCCCCCCCCCACCCCCCCCCCACCCCCCACTGGGCTATGACGTAACGACGCCCCCGACCAGCGCCTTGAATCGCTTGCAAGATGACTCAAGAAGCGGTCACAAGGCACGTGCTTCCTGCGCCAACAAAGAACGAAGGCGTCGAGTGTCAGTAGATGTGCGGATACGACTTGGGACAGTCCAAGGCCAAATCCCAATCAGCTGATGCGACCAGGCAGCGACCTCATTAGCATGCAAGGTATGTGAATCCTGTATGACATCGGTCCTTGCATACACGTAACTTGGTAGCTTCGGTTATACAACGTGAATCCAAAGCCTGGGGAAGCGCGCGACTCGTGCAAATAGCACGCGTTCTAGACGGTGAGTTGTGAGCTGTGTGATGTATGGGGATGTATCGATGGTCACCAACTGATGCAAATTTGGTCAAAATCTCGCTAGGCGCAGCAGATGGTCATTCAGATCAATAGGCACATACGTAGAATATTAAAGGACACGACAGCAGCGTGACAAAATAGTGAGAAAAAGCGTGACTGATTTGGAGCTGGGATACCAGATTTCTGGTAATAGCCAAGTCGCGACTAGTGTCTAGGGAGCCGTCGACTGCTTGGCCATTCTACAAATTCATCGACTGACCATCTGGCTGACTGACTAATGCATCTCTTCTGCTAAGCCGAAGAAGTGGCTGGAATCCTGCTGACTGGATGTAAGAAGCGGTATTCAAGAGAAGCGGTCAGGATCGCTTTTGAAGATAACGCCTGTGTCCAAGTATCGCGCAGAGGTTGAGATCCTTACCTGGCGTGTAAGAAAAAAGTGGTTTTACCATTTACATAATTTACCCCGAAGAAACGCTATCAGATCTCGGTATTATGCAAGGACCTAACGAGCTACAAGCTCAAGCACTTTTCTACTGATGAAATATCTGTCCGATATCACATTCCAACGCTTACATGCTTACGTGCCACCGATCACGACGTTTCATCGCGAAAATTCCAGTATTCAGCGTAGCTGAAACGATGCCGTGAGCCATTGTAGCGGTCTACTCTCCGCCCGCTTCCAGCCAACCACGACGATGTTCTGCTAAGCGCTAGCAAATCAAACCATATACAGGGTTTCTAAGAGCCCAGTCTCGATCATCAACTTCTAAAACAGACAGCCACCTGGCGACCGACCAGTGCAAAGGCCCGCCGACAGCAGTCACCGGCGTGGAGGGGGGGGGGGGGCATCACGTGACCACGGGCATCAGCCCGCCGCGACCGGTTACCGGTTACCGGTTACCGGTTGGTGGCACACTTCGGCGGCCGGTGCGCACGGCGCCGTCATGTCATCAAATGCCGCGAACCGGCCTCCTGACAGCGTAAGCCAGCTCCGGTCACCGCCAGCGGCCGCAAGTGCCACATAAATCGTCCAGACGGAGAGCCACCGCAGCATCTTCAAACAATGTGCTGTCCGTCACAACCAGCCGTCACAGGAGTCAGGCGGAGGCATGGGCCACACGAGCCGCGCCACGACCCGCCGCGGGTGAGGCACCCAGCGACCGGCGGCAGGCCACCGGCCCTCCAAGGTCAACTATCGATTACCATAGCCAGAGCCGGTGGTTCCATCTCAGTGAGAGCCAGCAGTTGGGTCAGAAGGTGGGGGGGGGGGGGGGGGGGGGGAGGGGGAGGGGGGGAGGGGTACGGTGGTGGGGTTCAGCGTCACGCACTGTCACGCTGATGGATTGCATGGTGCGTATGTTGCAAAAGCGGCTACATCGCACTATAAGTCACAGCAGAGAACACTCAGTCAAGGAATCTCACAGTAACGCATATGTTCACATGATAGCACGAATCCCACGGTAGTGGGCATTTCTTGTGCAACAGCAGTGCTGCAATCTTTGCAAAGTGACAGTCTCACAGCGACGCAAGTCACGGAGACGGTGGCGTACATTGACGGAAATCATTTCAAAGCAGCCAATATAACCACCGCAGTACCAACGCGTACGTTGCACGAAGCAAAGCAAAAATGGACACGCGAGCTGTGCGTCTGACGGTGGGGGACTTGGCACTGACGGCTGGTGACCTCGCGCGGGGCGCCTCGCTCTCCCGAACGGCAGCCGCCAACGCCACGTGTGACCGCGCGCCCCAGTGTGCCTCTCTGTGGAGGGCAGCCCCGGACCAGACCGGCGCCCATCAGCCACGCTTCAAGGGCCACGTCACGTTACGTCACGCTGGGTCACGCCGGGTCACGTCACGTCACGACACGCCGAGTCCTGTCACGTCACGCCTGGCCACGACACGTCACGTCACGCCTGGTCACGTCACGTCACGCCTGGTCATGCCACACCACGTTACGTCACGTCACGCCGAGTCACGTCACGTCACGCCTGGCCACGTCACGTCACGTCACGCCACGTCACGCCTGGTCACGTCACGTCACGCCTGGTCATGCCACAACCACGTTACGTCACGTCACGCCGAGTCACGTCACGTCAACGCCTGGCCACGTCACGTCACGTCACGCCACGTCACGCCTGGTCACGTCACGTCACGCCTGGTCATGCCACACCACGTCACGTCACGTCACGCCGAGTCACGTCACGTCACGCCTGGCCACGTCACGTCACGTCACGCCACGTCACGCCTGGTCACGTCACGTCACGCCTGGTCATGCCACACCACGTTACGTCACGTCACGCCAAGTCGCGTCACGACACGCCTGGTCACGCCACGTCACGTCACGTCACGCTGGGTCACGCCGGGTTACGTCACGTCATAATACGTCACGTCACGTCGCGTCACGCCTCTTCACGTTACACCGCGTCACGTCACGTCACGCCGCATTAGCGGCGGCTCGAGATGTAGGTGACTCGGAGCCGACGAAGCGTCTTGGCGCTTGCACACCTGCTCCCCGGGAGTCGTGCATGGCACGGAGAGGCACAAGACCCCGCTCTGCCGGAAGCCCGTCCCGTGTATTTCGCGCGCCCAGCTTGGCGGACGGCCTGTACGGGTTTAAACGTCCAACTTATCTCCTCTCTTCCTGCGATAGCCTTTTTAAAGCCTTGGGCGTGCTGTCCCCTGCCGCGCAAACCTGCATCGAGGATTTCAAGCCTTCAAGATGCATATCTTCACAGGGGACGTGAATCCGAGGGTTACTGGTATGCCCCGTCCGGTTTGGAACAAGACAGGACCGTGGTGGGACGGGAGGCAGTACTTACGGGTCATATATGGACCGCGATGGAACAGGAGGCAGTACTTACGGGTCTTATACGGACAGGTGACGGAGAGAATGATGAATATCCCAGCTCCAATCAGAAAGTAGAAGATGGGCTTCTTTCTGCCGAATCTGCAACATAGAGAATGAGACTCAAGCAGGTGAAATGAAATCACCCGAACCGTGTGCTGGCTAAATATTTCACTGCCTAAATCAGGAAACACTTTTAGGTGCCACGTTTGGCATGATTGGCATGGCGCGAAGCTAATGTTTTCATGGGACATCGGCTGGAAGACAGGCACTGCATGGGAGAATTCCATTGGGATATCAGTCGAAGAGAGTAAAATGAGAACCATCAACCGTATCGTCCCGGTTCTCAACGGGCTTACCACGACATCGACGGCCGCGGTAATGACACTCGCCTGGCGAGCGTCGATTGAGAACGGCACAATGAATGACGTCACCACAGGACAGCTGCCACGCTGCCACTTCACCTCTCAGGCGCCCGCGCTCGCACGCAACGCGACACGAGCGCGCCGGCCGACGCCTGACATCCCAAGCTAAACGTTTACGCCTTGCTGCGGAACGGAGACGGAACGGAGAACGGAATCTGTCAAGTAGCGTCACCGTGCGCCGGACGCGCGGCTCATGACAGGAAACACGAGAGACCCGGCGTAGGGTCAAAGGTCCAGGGTCACATTGGCAGCAGCGCGAGCTCTGGCATGGTGAACATCGACGTTGAAAAGATGTCCGCCCTAATCGACGCGTCTGAATTGTGAAACGCCGGGGAGAGGTAGGAATCAAGTACAGATCTCGTCGGTCGGAAGGTCGTCTCATTGCGTGGAGAAGTCCAGCTGCGATAGTAGCTGGACTTCTCCACGCAATGATAGAAGTCCAGCTATATATATATATATATATATATATATATATATATATATATATATATATATATATACATATATATATCCAGCTATATATATCACGCAGGATAGAAGTCCAGCTACGATAGCCCCGCCCGTATTTGTTATCTCAGCCGAGGGGCGACAGACGTGGTGTCGAGGTGAGCAAATAAACGGAGATAAATGATGATTTGATCTTAAGGACCCGTCGACAGCGTTGGTTATATGGCGCACATGTAATGCGAAAAAGGAGAGGAAATAATAGCCGTTTTCATAAACATGCGTTGCACGAAACTTTTCGCCATGTCAAAATCTTTTAGAAATCGTGCTATGTGCGGTACGTGCTTTCGCAGAAGCCGATGTGACATTTTTTGTAGCAAAGAGGTTGTTTTAGTTGCTTTAGGTAGACAAACGTGCGCTGTTTTGAAATAATTGCTCACCAATGCCAGCGATCATAAATATTTCAGCCCAATATCTCGACACAATAAACATGCTTTTGCACTTACCATGCTGAATAGACTGAGATTGTTTACGTTCGTTTCCAAGCTGACTGAAGAGAGCCATGCGCCTTAGCGCGGGCGCACGTCATCACGGCCGGAGGCCACAGTCTCTCGTGTGGAGCGGGACACGGGACCTCAGCCTGGCTGCCATTGGGCTGTGTCATTAGCTGGTCATCAGCATGGCTCAGGCCGCTGCATTGTAGTCACTGCAACGTTCACTGCCATCACTGTAGTCATAAGCGGAGTCTCATATAGATCATTCGTGAAAGTCAATATCAAAATTGGTTGGTTGTCATGCGGTTTGATTTGTGGCATGTGTGCGGGGGCTTGCTTTTCAATAGTTTTCAGTCATTAAAGTAATATACTGAAGGGCCTGGATTCAGCCAGCGGCTGTTTCAAAGGGACACAAAGCCCCGTCCATTGTCAAAGCTCCATATGCTATATAATGCGGCTCGCGACAGGCCCAGCAGCAGGCGGGTGGATTCCTGACAGGTCCGGCAGCAGGCGGGTGGATTCCTGACAGGCCCGACAGCAGGCAGGCGAATTCCTGATAGGTTCAGCAGCAGGCGGGTGGATTCCTGATAGGTCCAGCAGCAGGCGGGTGGATTCCTGACAGGTCCGGCAGCAAGCGGGTGGATTCCTGACAGGCCCGACAGCAGGCAGGCGGATTCCTGATAGGTTCAGCGGCAGGCGGGTGGATTCCTGACAGGTCCGGCAGCAGGCGGATGGATTCCCACAGCTTGCGCAATTGCTAGCGGACCGACAGCCGGTTTGATGATCACAACGGAATTCTGTGGATGCTGGCACGAGCACATGCCGGTGGCCCCTGCTTCGGCCAGCAGAATGGTGGCATGCCACGGTGCCGTGTGCTTGGGTCGGCAGGTTTCGTGTCTTCGCACAAGCCGGCGAGCGGGGCCATGACGATCCAGGCCAGGTGTTCTTTGAGGTTCACATCGCATACTGCCCACGAGAGCGGACGCCCGGATAAGAGCACGTGGGTCTCGCCGGGGCCCTGTAGCCTGCACCCGCGCACGTGGGTCTCGCCAGGCCCCCTCAGCCTGTGCACGTGGGTCTCGCCGGGCCCCGTAGCCTGCGCCCGTGCACGTGGATCTAGCCGGGCTCCCGTAGCCTGTGCACGTGGGTCTCGGCGGGCCCCGTAGCCTGTGCACGTGCACGTGGATTTAGCCGGGCCCCCGGAGCCTGTGCACGTGCACGTGGGTCTCACCGGGCCCCCGTAGCCTGCATGAGTCTCGCCGGGCCCCCGAAGCCTGCACCCGTGCGCCATGCAGGTGGAGGTGAAAGGCTTGCACGAATGCGTGCGATGCTTGGTAAACTGTGCATGTATACACAGTTCACAAGCGTGCATGCTATGGTACGTCGGCGCTAAGTAGTTCTAATGAGACCCCTGATGGCATCATAGCTTCGAATGTGAGCGGCGATCGTAAACGTGGGACCAGCGCTGCGCGCTCTAGCATGAAGCCAGTTGAAGTATATTAAACGTCAACGACAGAAAAGAAACAGACTTGCTATATTTGCACGGTGTCCATTCCTGCAATGAACACGTCATATAATATATACAGACTTGATGCATGTGTCAGTCTTTGATTAAACGTGCCTCCCTAAAAGAGTCGCCGCTCGCTGGTGCAGCCCTGGTAAAGGTCGTAGCCCTCTGTCTGCGCATGTGTGGAACTCTACGTCTTCTGGAAGGGACCTTACACCCAACGTTTGTCCTCCTCTCCGCCCAATATGAGTTTCAACCACCAAAAATCAGTTTTCATCATTGAGATTGGCTTGCATCACAAACAACGTTGAACAATGGATCCGTCCATATCCAACCTCAAAGCTGTTTTTATAATTTGTTGCATTTTACATCATGACGTTTGATTGCGTTCTGCACGGCGCCGCTCACCGTCTGAGGATGAAGATGGAGACGGAAGCCGGAATCATCACCAGACCGGACAGGCAGTAGTTGAGGTACACGTTGCCCTTCATCACCATGGTGCTGGCCGTTAAGCCGTAGTACAGGAAGCCCACGATCGCCCTGCCGCCAGGTGAGCCTAGGTCAGGTTAGATCAGCCCAGGTCATGCGTGACCTGGAGACAAGCGTCTGTTATTGACAATACACAGACGCACACGAGCACACACTCACTTGCCCACGCGCGTCACCAGTTCACGACCTATGCATTCAGACATATTCGGCACTAAGAGCGACGACAGGTGCAACAGGGCCCTGGCGGAATCAGCGGCCAGTCTGCACCCCGTTGAAAGCCCTGGCCCGGTCATGCGAGGTCAGGTCGGGTCAGGTCAGGGAAGGGCAGGACACGACGGGGCAAGGCAACCTCACCCCGAGATAGGTCGTGAACGAAGAGTGATTGTCAGCAGACAGGAAATCTTTCATTTATGTGCGAGGATCTTCTGTGGTGCAAGATGAAGACACGTTCCGTGCATGTGCACTAAGGGTGTTTTAACGGACGCTGTGCACATTCTCCAGCTTGTCATGCTGTGCTGTAGCAAGAAAAAGGTACAATACTACAGCCGCATTGCTAATACGCACACCGCAAGGTGTCATCATTTTGTCAAAAGGAGCACACCATAAAATACATACATTCTGTTATGTAACCTCCTTGGCTCAAACATGCAGCAACATCGCTAGGCGTCCGAGTCTGTCATATCGCTATCAGCATCGGAGATGCCATTCTTTCTCTGGGAGAGTTATCTGCAACAGGGTGCGTCTCCAGCCTATCACAACTCACGACGGCCGTCTTCAGCGGCATCTCCTTAAATCCGGGCTTCCCAAGAATGCAAGTCCGGCGACGTCCGATCCACAGCCGGCACGGCGCCAAGCCGAGGAAAGACCGCGGTCTGCCCGCGCTGTCCGCGGCCGTCACCAGCTGACCCCGACAAACATCTTTAAAGCTCGACGACGCACGGCCGTGGGGCACAAAACTTCACTACAATAGTGTGTCAGAATGTTGAGACCTGCGCTTGAGTGAAAGCTTTTCGACAGGCAGCTCACGGTAGTGCCACGCAAAACTTGACCACAACAATGTGTCAGAATGTTGAAAACTACGCTTCAGAGAGAGAGAGATAGAGAGAGAGAGAGAGGAGAGAGAGAGAGAGAGAGTAGAGAGAGAGAGAGAGAGAGAGAGAGAGAAGAGAGAGAGAGAGAGGAGAGAGAGAGGAAGAGAGAGAGAGGAGAGAGAGAGAAGAGAAGAGAGAAGAGAGAGAGAGAGAGAGAGAGAGAGAGAGAGAGAGAGAGAGAGAGAGAGATAGGAGAGATAGAGAATGAGAGAGAGAGAGAGAGAGAAGAGAGAGAGAGAGATAAGAGAGAGAGAGAGAGAGAGAGATAGAGAGAGAGAGAGAGAGAGAGGAGAGAGAGAGAGAGAGAGAGAGAGAGAGAGAGAGAGAGAGAGAGAGAGAGAGAGGAGAGAGAGAGAGAGAGAGAGAGAGAGAGAGAGAGAGAGAGAGAGAGAGAGAGAGAGAGAGAGAGAGAGAGAAGAGAGAGAGAGAGAGAGAGAGAGAGAGAGAGGAGAGAGAGAGAGAGAGAGAGATAGAGAGAGAGAGAGAGAGAGAGAGAGATAGAGAGAGAGAGAGATAGAGAGCGAAGAGAGAGAGAGCTGAGAGAGGAGAGAGAAGAGAGAGAGAGAGAGAGGAGAGAGAGATAGAGAGAGAGAGCGAGAGATAAGAGAGAGAGAGATAGAGAGAGAGAAGAGAGAGAGGAGAGAGAGAGAGAGAGAGAGGAGAGAGAGAGAGAGAGAAGGGAGAGAGAGAGAAGAGAGAGGAGAGAGAGAGAGAGAGAGAGTGAGGAGAGAGAGAGAGGAGACGGTGTTTTAGGATGATATCAGAACACTGGGCGTCGCTTGTGACGTGGTTTCCAATGTCACGAGCACGCAATAGTTCGCCAAAAAACTCTTCGGAATTGGCGTCTGAAAAACCCACCGTGACATTCTGCACCGACGGCGTTTCATGAGAGAAAATCAATCCGCTCTTTTCCCGAGTTTGTACAGCTCACAACTTCCGCCACTCATAAATGAGCCGAACAGTCTGCAACGCATAGCATGAAAATTTTTTGTTAACGAACAGAAAACTTGATGTTCCGGGTAAGGTTTCTTTAGTAACTCAAGTGCGTAAGTAAATGCATTCATTTGCCCTCCTCCTTTGGCCTTTCCAGCCTGCACACGTGCCCGCCACATCGCACACGCCTCAGTCATGACGCCACGGGAACGTGGGCACACAACAAACCAGCCCCGATCGTTAACGCGCGCCGCTCCTCGTCTGCGCTGCGCAATCAGTACAAGCCCCGGGTCGGATGATCGACATCCATCACTCACCCGAGCAGCCCATGGCGGCGTGGACTACATGGACTACAAGTGGACTACAAGTGGACTACAAGTGGACTACCACTGCTGCGGAGACCCGCACCGAACGGGCTACGGTACGGGGACAGGTCCTGATGTTGATAAACAGGGCCTGATGGTGGCCACCGGCATCTGATGACGGTCAACAGTGCCTGATGTCGGTCAGCAGGGCCTGATGTCAGTCCAGGGCCTGATGTCGGTCAGCAGGCGTGGGTAGGTGTGGTGCTGGCCTGTCAGACTGCCGAGCCTCCACCCGCGGCCGGCCCGGCGGCGTCGCGTGCTGGTTAGGGTCGACAGGCAACGGCCGGCCGGTGTTAGTCGCGGTCTGCACGGCGCCTCTGACCACACTCTCTGCTGGCTCTGACGGGGTCTGCAGTGCGAGCGTGTGCAGACTACCCCTCTCAAACCCGTCAGCATTTGTTTATCCGTAAATTATCGTGTGCGATGACTAGTCATGCCCCTCCCCCTCGCATGCCGTCGTGAGAGGGCTGGTGTTGGAGGGAAGGGGGGGGGGGGGGTCCGCGCACGGGCACGCCTTGAATGGAACAGCGGACGCTGGGCTTCCGTACTCCGACAGACTGTTTGGCGGCGAGCGCATTATCTGCTGAGACGTGTCGTGCTCTGACCAACCGGCAACAAAAAAACAAGATACAACATGTGGGTCTGAGGATACTTACATCGCATGCACTAAGCCATTTTTTGGCGGGGGGGGGGGGGGAGGCGACGAGCGCTCCATCCCGCTTAACTGTGACGCATGGATTACACACATTCTGCGGTCGTTGTCACCGCATGCCTTATACGGCAAGCCTCGTGGTGAGAGACGCAAGGTCGCGATAAGGACGACTTTCCCGGCATAACCGATCCGTAAAAAAGCCGTGCTATGTTTGGAAGGCGACGGACGGCGGAGGTGGCCCAAGGCTAGGAGATGAGACCATGGAAAGCTGGCGGGATCCGCTGCCAGTGTTTTCCTCATGGAAGCTGGATAGTACTAAGTGATTAAAAGCGAGGTGCGCCGACCACGCGACGTTGAGTCGCGATGGTATCTGGGGACAATGCACAAGGATCGCAGCTCCATACAACTGTGGCTCGAGCGGCTGCAACAACAAAACAATGGAAAACTTCACCTCCACTAATCTGGCTGTACATGTGCAAATTTATTTTCGGAGTCGTGTTATTAAAACTGTACTGTGTTTATCACTAATCGTGAAAGGGTGTGAAACTTAATCATATGAAGCCAACAAGACAAAGCCAACAAATAAGCGGGCCTGCAATAAGGTCACGGCGTTCTGAGCGCGGCACGCGGTACATCGTCGCCGAAATACCAGCAGACACACCGTTCCCGAGCCCGTCTGTGCGTCACGAGATGGGCGTCCGGACCCTCGGCACATATCCGACTGCAGATACAGGTGTGCGATCATGAAGACCCAACAGCCAAGGTGGATTCCACTGGGTTCTTCATCCTCAAGTGAGAGAATGACGCAAGGTATGGTAAGGTCAGGCAAGGTCAACCCAGCTGAGCACCGCGCACACACAGGACATGCTATCAACGCGGCACACGTTGCTCGCCGGAGTAACAGCTCAACAGCCGGGCGCAGTGCTAACGCTCGCTGTCAAGCGTCGGGGAGGGCCAGGGGAGCCGTGGCCGCGTTGCGCGCCGGAGCGCAGTGTTAACGCCCGCTATCAAGCGTCGGGGGGGCTAGGGAGCCGTGGCCGCGTGCGCGCCGGAGCGCAGTGCTAACGCTTGCTGTCAAGCGTCGGGGAGGTCAGGGGAGCCGTGGTCGCGTGCGCGGCGGGGCGCAGTGCTAACGCTCGCTGTCAAGCGTCGGGGGAGGCCAGGGGAGCCGTGGCCGCGTGCGCGCCGGAGCGCAGTGCTAACGCCCGCTGTCAAGCGTCGGGGGGGCCAGGGAGCCGTCGCTGAGTGCGTGCCGGGCGCAGTGCTAACGCCCGCTGTCAAGCGTCGGGGAGGGCCAGGGGAGCCGTGGTCGCGTGCGCGCGGGGCGCAACGCATGGCCAGACCAAACACGGCGTGGTATTCGACAAAGCAAACAGTTCTTATGGCGTCGACCCTGGAATCTAAGCATGTAAAAGGGCGTTGCGAGTCGGTCTAGCAAGCGGCAGCACCAAACAACGCCTGGGTGTCGTCGAGTCGCGCTGCCCGTCGGCACATTTAATACCGTGCCGTTCTAAAAGGTGCGGGGCATAGCCGTTTTGCCGGTCGAAAATTAATCCTTTAACACCAAAGTGGGAACGAATCTGCGAGGTAAAGTAAGCTCGATGGCGCATGCGGGCTGCCAGCCAGCCCCGGGATCGTGCGGGCCAGCCAGTCACACCGGGATCATGCGGGCTGCCCCAGCCGCCACACCGGGATCGTGCGGGCTGCCAGCCCCACACGGGGATCATTCGGGCTGCCAGCCAGTCACACTGGGATTACACGGGCTGCCAGCCAGTCACACTGGGATTACACGGGCTGCCAGCCGTCACCGTCACGAGACCTAGCGTTGAATCCTGTCCGACACGCGAGTTGTGAAACTTGGCAGCAAGCAACCAGGCTCATGTTGCCGCGTTCAATGGCGGACCGAAGCATGACGCAACCAGAGCCGCGTTCGTCACCAAGTCACCCCGATGGCCGCGACAGGACTGTCTGCGACAATCGCAGCGGCGCTACGGCACGGCCGCCACCCGC